GCCATTTCGAACCCGATCCAAAAAAAAAAATGACGTGCATCAAGGTCCTATTATGTTTAATGTATGTACCAAATTTGAACGAAATCCGTCCATGCATAACTGAGATCCGGGTCCGGAATGGTGAAAATGTGCGAATTTTGATGCATTTTCGGCCTTAAAATGGCCGCTATTCAGCTATCGTTAATCAGATCATGAAAAAAATGCATGTGCATATGTCCCATATAATGTGTGATGTATGAGTGAAGTTTGAACTTAATCGGTCCATGCATGTTCGAGATACAGGTGATCACGGACGGACGGACGGACGGACGGACGGACGGACGGACGCACACAGGGCAAAACATAAGTCCCCGTTTTCGGACTGCGTCTGAACAGGGACTAAAAATCTAGATTAAATACCAAATGGATGGATGGATACAAACGAACGAGGCACAATCTTTTTTTACAAGAAAACATCACATATTGAGTAGTAATTCACCTTGCCAGCAGGTCTCAGCAACATCTCTGCAAAAGTGAGACATATTTTATCTTCCTGTAATGCGTACACAATTTCTTCCCCTGTGAATTAGACAATGTAAAGAAAAGATTATTGTGTCTTCATTATATGCCTAGCTCTGTAACTTATGGCGGCGAGTGCTACAATAATTATTGACCTTCCCACTTGTTCAATGAAAACACAAAGCAAATAATGTACAAAAACCTAAATTCTGGTATTTTGTTAATAATCTTTTACATTATTTTTTAAAGACACTGGAAAGAAAAGGTCGCCTAAATATTGCTAGCCACCTGCCGCTGTCAGCGATGTATTCAAAATTTGCATAATTGAATGCACCACAAGCGTGCATTCCCCTGATGCAAATTCTGAGCACTAGTTTCTTACTCGATTGTACCGTAAGAAAGTCAGTAACCACTCTCGTATGCATTCATAACAAATGTAAGCACAGTCACATAAAGTATTTTAACATGCAGTAATGACCAGAAGAAGCAATCATCTTTTAAGACCAGTGGCCAGGATACTGTCGCCTTGAAGAAACTTGTTTATAACTACTGCCGCCATTTTGTTGTAAACAAGCTATGCATTGCACAGTCCTCGTTAGTTATTGAATTTAAGATATATAGTTTCGTTTATAGTAATAAGCTGGAATATAAACATGTCAGGAATATGATTATGATGATAGTTTAACATTTAAATGATTGACATTTGTATCTGATCGTCAAACGAGTATTGAGAGATATTGCTCTGGAACAGCATTAATTAAAACAAAATCAGCCATTTTGAATACATGTATAATGAATATTTAAAATTTGAACATAATCAGTCACAGCAAGTCAGAGATATGGCACTAGAACCACATTCTTTAAAACAAAATAGCCACCAGTCGGCCATTTTGAATCTTATCTGAAAAAAAAATGTATATACCAAGTTTGAACAAAATCAGTAAACAGCCGAGAAATGCTTGATTTTGATGACTTTTTAGCACAAAAAATGGCCACCATTCGGCCATCTTGAATCAGATCGTAAAACAAATCGATGTGCACATGTATAATATCATGTATGATGTATGTGTGAAGTTTGATTGTGATTGGTCCAGGAATTTCTAAGATACAGATCCGGACACACAGACGCACAGAGGTCAAAACATAAGTCCCCGTTTTCGGACTGCGTCCAAACGGGGACTAATGAGAGCTCATGAAATTGCCATAGCATTGCATTCAGGTAAAGACTTCACATGCCTGGCCATTCCCAAGGCAAGTGGTAAAAAAAACATGTCCAGTATATACATCCATACCACATACCTTGGTCAGTTTCCACGGACTTCTTGTCACCATAGCAATCTAAACAATGCTGGAGAATATTTCTTGAGAATAGAGAAAATTAATGAATGACAAATGACACAGCATGTTAAGAAGTCCAAATTTAATGAATAATAATATCAGGACAAATGATAATTAAACAATAATGAACGACCCACCAACCCATAATGGGCGCCAGCTTACTTTGTGCGACATATATGTACGAAGCGTGAGCTGAGTAGATATATGGAGCACAAAGTGTGCTTGAGTCCAGTATGGGTTGTCGGGGAGTTCATTATTGTTATTATTTTGTAGCGTTGTCATTACCAGTGGATTTGCTGCCTCTAAAAAGCGGAAAAAATTGGAGAAAAATCTACAGTGAACAGAATAGTTTCACAGTCACTGGCCCGTGAATCTGAATAATTTAAAATGTCTTTCTGAAAATTGTTTCCACAATCTCATATGGCAAACCATGGAACTATAAACCTATAGTTCCATAGGCAAACTAAGAAAGAAACTAGTTTTAATCCATCAAATATTATTGTATTGAACTCATTTACATTGCGAGTGAATGAGTGACTGATGTGTGGTGTGGAGTAGCATTACAGTGATCGCCCGAGCAAACGGCACGCCCGTGACTGGTACGGCGTATCGGTGTCCACCACTGCCTTGCACTACGCTACGCTGGATCGCCACCGTGGTCCAGCTAGATCGACTGTGCGTGGGGGACATACCCGGGGTACATGTACGTAGTTGCATCGTTACCCATCCCACTAGTGTTTTCAAACCATCAAGGTAGATATTATTAGCAACTGTCCTTTCTGTGTAATAGTTATTTTAAATTCTAAAACAGGGCCGGGATTTGACGAATACTTTGAAGCGGGCGAACGAACATGACCGGAAAGCTAGTTGGTGTTAGCCATCCTAGAAGGTGAACCAACAGTTATTTTAATCTTACTGTATAAATAAACAGATACACACCTGGGAACACGGATACTTTCATTTATTTATGCAAACTGTGCCCGGACTGTTACATTTACCGGGAGTCGACACTGAGGAAATACAAGTCACGTCAATCTTTCGTCGATCTCGTTTAGCAAATTGTGTAGTACTACTACTACAAAAACAGAACAAATTCATCTCTCTGTACTCGTAGACATACATTTTATCCCCATTTCGTTTATCGCATTTGCTTGAAAAAATTATCCTCGGTTAACCTCACTTCATCAACACGATAGGGCCAACAAATCAGGAGGCCACAAGGACAGCGGCATCAGTCGCGGAATCTAGAAGCGCGCGTACTAGATGGAACGCTTCGACTGAACACGCGATAGCGTACAGAGCAGACTACAATTCCCTCACAATATTGTCTGATTTCGATATTGGAATTTGCTGTTTTTGGTTATGGACCGTTTTATTTGATGCTATTTTTGGTATTAAATACTTGTTATCTAACAATTTCTCTTCTCTTTCAATAGTTTCTTCTTTATTCGTTTTCGAAAATAACATTGTATTCATATCCATGGGACAGGGCCTTGATGCTCAATAATGTAATACATTATCGTGAATAATCTGCTGCAATGACGTCATAAAATCCACTGACATTGATAATGCTATAATATAATTATAGTAGATATTGTATTCACAATGAAAATGCAACGGGTGTCAAGCGTCTCCTTGGCTGGGCCTTACCTTGGATAGAGGTTTTCTAGGATGTCTCCTTGGCTGGGCCTTACCTTGAATAGAGGTTTTCTAGGGTGTCTCCTTGGCTGAGCCTTACCCTGGATACAGGTTCTCTAGGATGTCAAGTGTCTCCTTGGCTGGGCCTTACGTTGGATACAGGTTTTCTAGGGTGTCAAGCAACTACTTGGCTGGGCCTTATCCTGGATAGAGGTTTTCTCATGGGTGTCTCCTTGGCTGGGCCTTACCTTGGATAGAGGTTTTCTCTGGTGTCTCTTTGGCTAGGGTCCTTACCTTGGATGGAGGTTATCCTTAGGGTGTCAAAGACCTCCTTGGCTGGGCCTTACCTTGGATGGGGGTTTTCTAGGATGTCAAGTGTCTCCTTGGCTGGGCCTTACCTTGGATAGAGGTTTTCTAGGGTGTCTCCTTGGCTGGGCCTTACCTTGGATAGAGGTTTTCTAGGATGTCTCCTTGGCTGGGCCTTAATTTGAATAGAGATTTTCTAGGATGTCTCCTTGGCTGGGCCTTACCTTGAATAGAGGTTTTCTAGGGTGTCTCCTTGGCTGAGCCTTACCCTGGATACAGGTTTTCTAGGATGTCAAGTGTCTCCTGGCTGGGCCTTACCTTGGATAGAGGTTTTCTAGGATGTCAAGTGTCTCCTTGGCTGGGCCTTACCTTGGATAGAGGTTTTCTAGGGTGTCTCCTTGGCTGGGCCTTACCTTGGATAAAGGTTATTCTAGGATGTCTCCTTGGCTGGGCCTTACCTTGGATGGGGGTTTTCTAGGATGTCAAGTGTCTCCTTGGCTGGGCCTTACCTTGGATAGAGGTTTTCTAGGGTGTCTTCTTGGCTGGGCCTTACCTTGGATAGAGGTTTTCTAGGGTGTCTCCTTGGCTGGGCCTTACCTTGGATAAAGGTTATTCTAGGATGTCTTCTTGGCTGGGCCTTACCTTGGATGGGGGTTTTCTAGGATGTCAAGTGTCTCCTTGGCTGGGCCTTACCTTGGATAAAGGTTATTCTAGGATGTCTCCTTGGCTGGGCCTTACCCTGGATAGAGGTTTTCTAAGACGTCTCTTTGGCTGGGCCTTACCTTGGATAGAAGATTTCTAGGATGTCTCCTTGGCTGAGCCTTACCCTGGATAGAGGTTTTCTAGGGTGTCAAGCGTCTCCTTGGCTGGGCTTTACCCTGGATAGAGGTTTTCTAGGGTGTCTCCTTGGCTGGGCCTTACCTTGGATAGAGGTTTTCAAGGGTGTCAAGTGTCTCCTTGGCTGGGCCTTACCTTGGATAGAGGTTTTCTAAGGTGTCAAGCGTCTCCTTGGCTGGTATATAATCTGATGTCCAGGAATTTTCATCAATAAGTTGAATAATTTGAGATAAAACTGACGAGTCATAATCAAAACTCAACAATCTCCAATAACCTTAAAATGAAACAAAACAATAATGATGTACATAATGATTTCCAAAAATCTCAAATGATCCCTTAGTAACACAATAGGCTGAAATAAAAAAGAAAAGAACATTTTACATGGTTTGATCAATTTTTATCTTCTTCTCTTAGTGTTTCTGTATGTTTACAAGTAAGTGAATGACTCAACCAGTGGTTTCAGTCTTGTCACTGTATTATACTCATCCATTGTATGGAACTGCTCAGCTTCTACTAGGGATAACAAAAGTTCAAGTCATATTGGTAATTTACATAATAATTATTTGTTGCCAGGTACCTACATTTTCAGCAAATAAAACATGCTATTATAGCATTCGCAAGACTTTGTCAATTTGTACAAGATCTTCATCACCTATCAAACCACTTACCATAAATTATTAAAATTATGCAATACATCTCCTTGATATTTATAATTTCTTTCTGTGGATGATACCTTGTATTTAAATGCTGACAATTTCTGCCAAGAATAATTCATAATTAAATAAGCAACCTGACAGTCGAAATAGCTCCGCTGTCTTCATTCTCATGGAACAAGAATTAGTAAAGTGGCATTGTGGTTGTAATATTCATAGTCAGTCATTTAGAGAACATTGCACTTGAGTTGCAGTTTCTTGCAGTTGCAATTATGAACTTTTACAGTGTTCATAAGGATAGTGCATTTCATTGGACAAACATCATTGAGGCTAAACTTAAGAAATCGTGGGTGTGCAAAAACCAGAGAAATAGTCGAGAAAAAAAAATATGTTTTGTCGAAAATAATTTTTTTTACCAAAAAAGACACAAATATTCACTAAAAATCTAAATTTGCATATTTTGATACAAATTTAACAAATCTGACAGAGGACCACCCCAAGTACCATTGCTGCAAATATCAAAGCATTTGGACTTACGGTTTCTTTCGGACTAGTTGTCTAAAATAACTTTATTTACCAAAAATGACAAATATATTTCCTAAAAATCCAAATTTTCATATTTTGACACAAATTTAACAAATCTGACAGAAGACCACCCCAAGTACCATTGCTGCAAATATCAAAGCATTTGGACTTACGGTTTCTTTCGGACTAGTTGTCTAAAATAACCTTTTTTACCAAAAATGACAAATATATTTCCTAAAAATCCAAATTTTCATATTTTGACACAAATTTAACAAATCTGACAGAAGACCACCCCAAGTACCATTGCAGCAAATATCAAAGCATTTGGACTTACGGTTTCTTTCGGACTAGTTGTCAAAAATAACCTTTTTTACCAAAAATGACAAATATATTTCCTAAAAATCCAAATTTTCATATTTTGACACAAATTTAACAAATCTGACAGAAGACCAACCCAAGTACCATTTCTGCAAATATCAAAGCATTTGGACTTACTGTTTTAGGCTAGTTGTCGAAAATAACATTTTTTGCAAAAAATAATAAAAATATTAACTAAAAATCCAAATTTGCATATTTTGAGACGAATTTAACAAATCTGACAGAGGACCACCCCAAGTACCTATGGTACAAATATGAATGTAATTGGTAAAGTACTTTTGAAGAAGAAGTCGTTTAAAGGAATACTTCACACTGGACATGGGACACGGGACGCCGGAGAGACCTATAGCAACAACTCCGCTGGGTCATCTGCGATGACAGCGGAGCTAAAAAAATTAACCCAATTATTCACTGCATTTTATTTATTTTATTGATAAATGAAACACACTAATTTTAAACCAGAATAGATGAAAAGTTATAATCATAATACATTCATAAATTTATTTCTACAATGTTAAATCCTATAAAAATAAACCCGGTGAATGTTTCTCTTTCTAATATCACCATTTAAGTTCGAATCCAGGATTTGAGTACTGAATTATTTGTAATGCCATTCATTACAACTTTCTAGCGATTCTGACTACCGTATTGGCTTAAGTGGGAATATACCTTGACCCGCACATGTCACCCACCCCTGTCATATTAGAAGGGGTTCATGACTACTGGCATTCATTCAACTGGGGGGTGGGGTGGGGGTGGGGGTGGGGGGGGGGGCGGGGGCTGAGGGCTTTTAATCATATGCTACCCATAATTACCCTTACCATTTATATTACACGCTTGTAATTTCTGCAATTCTGTTTTAATTTCAATTTCACTAGCTTGTATAACATCTAATAATTCAGAGAAAGTATATTTCTTCCCTTGGTGTTTCTCATCATCCTCATATAGTGGTCCATCATATCGGTTTTCTTCCAGTAATTTTTTTAGTCTTCTAAGCTTCGGCCGACAAGGACGCAGCTCAAAGTAATGATGAGCAAGACCAACAATCTGAAAAGTAAATTAAAAGTATTAGATATATTAGATTCATATGTTGATCTCAACATATGAAAGGTCATCAGTACTTTTTTTATTACTGTATATTATTTAATTCATTTTAGCTGAAAAGGCATTTTGTCTGTTTTTCATGAAGTTTATTTTCACTGATTTTTGATGAAATGAATGCACAATAATATTATTAAAAAGTTATTTTCACTGGATTGTATTGATACTGATTATCCTTTCAGTGGAAATAACTTAACCAAGTGAAAACAAAATACCAAGCCACAAGAGGCCGGTAACTAGTAACGACTCTGGCATTCTGATTGGTCCATCACTTTCTCGTTGCTTGTTCTATTTCCCTTGGTTACCTGATGTCAGTGCTTACGCTCATGGCCGTTCAGGGGTTTCCTTTTACTTTCGAAAGTTGGGCAATAATAAACTGTCTAATTTGTTATAAGTTTACACAGAAACAGAGAAATGCAAGAAACATCTCAAATATGTAAGTCTAAGCAGGCAGAATGTATGAGCCCAGTAGTATTACAGACACGTTTACGCAGAACGAAACTTGAAATGCTTTCAAATTACGTCACTCAGTCACGTGCCTTTGGACCGGAATCCTGACCCAGTGGAACAATATGGTGATTACCAGTTACCTGCGTCCTACTTGCCATTAGCAAGGGACGCTGAGAACCAGTGAATATTGGCAAGTTATTACACAGCTCCCTCTAGTGGCAAAAGTTATAACACAGCTCCCTCTAGTGGCAACAATTATCACACAGCTTCCGTTTGCGACAATTGTTATCACTCAGCTCCTTCGAGTGTCAATAGACCACTTTTCCGAAAATCAAAGATACATCATTTTATATTCACACACATACCGAATATGGGGTGCAACATACATTTGTACACATGATATTGTGCATGTTGGTGTACCAATCGACGTGACAAAAAAGAAAAGATTCCCTTTTACATCAACATCAGCAGACTGAAAGGCAGGCGTCTTTCTTACATCCCAGACTCTCTACTTCCGGGAAAGTGGTCTACAGCTCCCTCTACAGGCAATATTATCTTACTTCTATTGGTTGTAATCTTGAACAACATCCTTCTTCAAAATCTTTGGATGTTTTACATTCAGGTGCTAAGAGTAATGTGTTGGACGTCTCAGCAGATTTCAAATCAAATGTCTTATCATTTGTGCAAAGCACAACAGAGTCGCTTTTGTCACCTCGGATCACAAGACTGAAATCGAAAGAAATCAAACCTTTACTAATTTAGCAGCATTCAACAGTGTAAAAACC